AAAAAGTGTAATGAATAAACCTCAGGCTGAAGGAAAAGTAAATTCACGTCTGTACAGTAGAACGCAGGAGAAGAAACACTCTTCAGCAATAAAAAAAACAATGAAGCACAATTGTTAGTTTATCTAATGAGTCATTAGATAGTTTAAAAATGAGTCATTTTTGCTTATTATTAAGTAACTGGCGTTACTTTTTTGAAAAAGTAACTCAGATATTTTCTTGTAAATTAAAAAAGTAATGCATTTACTAGTTACTTGAAAAAAAGTAATCTGATTACGTAACTCGCGTTACTTGTAATGCGTTACCCCCAACACTGTCTGCAAGTGAACGGCGCCTTGTGGTGCCATCCCAAAGAGGCACAAAATCACTCTCACAGACCTTTTCCTGGACTGTGCCCAGCTGGTGGAATGACCTCCCAATCTCAATTCGAACAGCTAAATCTTTAGCCATTTTCAAAAAACATCTAAAGACACATCTTTTTTGCCAGCACCTGACCAACTAATACTAGCACTTAACTATTCTGTTCTGTTCTATTCCACTCTATTATTTATAAAAAAAATAAATAAAAAAAAACCCTAGCTACGTGCACTGTGCTAGACTACCTGAGACTTGTCATGGCACTTGTATACTGTTGTTGTTCTCTCGTTGGTCTGATTGCTTCTATTGTTCTCATTTGTAAGTCGCTTTGGATAAAAGCGTCTGCTAAATGATTAAATGTAAATGTAATATGTTATTAACAGGCATGCTAATAAGCAACTAGTTAATAGTGAGAATTGGCCCCTATACAAAAGTGTTACCAAATTGTTTTCATGCTATGTTATAATCTCAAAATACTTTTATATGGTTTGCATGATTTTTCATTAGTTAAATCATGCATTTTGATGTTTGCATAACATAACTAGTTTCATATGTATGGCTTTTCTGACATAGTAAACTTAGCTCACTTGGTACAGCGTTGTACTGTACTTGCAGTGCAGAGTGCTCAGGTACGCATCCTGTGAAACCAGTCACGATAAAAGAGCTCAAAGACTTGTAGAAGCAAGCTGAAATGTCAAGGCTGCTTCATCTTTTATCTCATGCCTGTGTTTTATTAACACTGCTTTCATTAACACATCGGTTTTGAGTTTAAGGTTGGGTTTAGTGTAGGTGGTAAGCAATTTTCAAATGCCATAGAACATTAAAAACAATCAACGCAATAAAATGTTGTGTCACAAAACATGCAAGATGCTACATAATATCATTTGCCAGAAATATTTGATAACAATGTAACTACTTAAGGGTTATAATTACTTCAGGGGCAAAATGTATACAATGAACCCAGCACAGAATCTGCCAAATGTTACTTAAAACCAAAAATGTTAATAATAAAATGATTTTATATTAAAAAAAATTACTAGATGGACATTGGTATATTAATCAAATCCAAATAAAATGTGCATTAAATGATTATATGCACAACTGAGATTAATATTTCGTAATGACAATAATGATGGCAATGCCAAAAACAGGATCTGCAAAGGATCTACCTAACTTTTTTTTTCCTGAAAGCTCAGCTGTGTGTACTCAAACTTTCAGGATTAAATTATTGGCAAGTTTTATGCATGTAGCCCCTGCCCAGCTTTTGCAGGGCTCCACATGGTGTCAAATGACAGAATAAGCATAATGAGTGACCACTCATATTCTTCTCTAAAATTAGAAGTCAAGCCGGATGGAGGGAAATTGCAATGGGCAATAAAGAATAAAATGGACCTCAAAGGTCTCATTTAGCCAGCATAAAAAAACAAAATAGTGCAGCATGACTTCACAATGTCTTCACAAGTCAAATGATGGCACAATAGAAACAAAAACACAGCAGCTGCTCTCCAAATTGGACCGGAATGGCTCATAAGCAGTTGGTTTATGTGAGAATAACTTGGTTCATAATGACGCATTTGATACGTCTCCTGTGAATCTAAATGCACAGCTCTAAATTAGGATTCAAAGGACTGCAGTGGTAGATTAGGTCAATTACAGAGTGAGCTAATTGGAAAGAGACTAATCTACTAATTAAGACCATTTACTGCTGATTAAATAATAACCACTGGGGACACATCACCATGCAAGTGTGCCTGTTGGGCGACAGTAATATGACTTTGCATCTGTAATGATTACTGAGGGTATTTTATGAATGGTGGTGCATGGTTTTTGATCCTTCATATTGTACTCCTTTAGACTTTAGAGCACACATTTTCATTTGAAGATGACCCATTGCACAATATTTCAAACTGATTTTATAGTTCAAAGGAAGTTGTACACATGCACGCCCCAGTAGACAGTACTCCTCTTGTGTCAGGAATTGTTTGCTTATTGAGTTTTTTTTGAGAAAAATCTTAAGTTAGGCTTGGGAAATCATGCATATGTTCCATCATTGAGGCATAAACAAACAAAATAAGAAAAATAAAATGTTTGATATTTAGCAAATTGTTTTACCTGATGCAAACAGTTTCACTGTTGTCTCAACACAATTTACATTTACATTTAGTCATTTAGCAGACGCGTTTATCCAAAGCGACTTACAAAGTAGAAGCAATAAGACCAACGAGAGAGCAACAATATACAAGTGTTATGACAAGTCTCAGTTAGTCTAGCACAGTGCACATAGCAAGGTGTTTTATAAATACATTAGACCAAATAGAATAGAATAGAATAGAATAGAATAGAATAGGTAAGTGCTAGTATTAATTGGTCAGGTGATGGCGAAAAAGATGTCTTTAGATGTTTTTTGAAAATGGCTTAAGACTTAGCTGCTCGATTGAGATAGGCAGGTTGTTCCACCAGCTGGGAACAGTCCGGGAAATGGTCAGTGAGAGTGATTTTGTTTCTCTTTGGGGTGGCACCACGAGGCGTCATTCACTTGCAGAACGCAAGCTTCTGGAGCTTCTGAACTAGCGAGTTTAGGTATATTGGTGCGTAGGTCTGAACTAGCGAGTTTAGGTATATTGGTGCAGCGCCAGTGGTTGTCTTGTAGGCAAGCATCAGTACCTTGAATTTGATGCGAGCGGCTACTGGTAGCCAGTGTAACCTGATGAGGAGAGGAGTAATGTGAGCTTTTTTTGGCTCATTGAAGACCACTCTGGCTGCTGCATTCTGGATCAGTTGCAGAGGCTTGATAATACATGCAGGAAGGCCCGCCAAGAGAGCATTACAATAGTCCAGTCCGGAGAGAACAAGAGCTCGGACAAGGAGTTGTGCGGACTGCTCTGTTAGGAAGGGGCTAATCTTCCTAATCTTGTATAAGGCAAACCTGCAGGACCGGGCCTCAGTTGCAGAGGCTTGATAATACATGCAGGAAGGCCCGCCAAGAGAGCATTACAATAGTCCAGTCTGGAGAGAACAAGAGCTTGGACAAGGAGTTGTGTGGTCTGCTCTCTTAGGAAGGGTCTAATCTTCCTAATGTTGTATAAGGCAAACCTGCAGGACCAGGCTGTTGTAGCCATATGGTCTCTGAAGCTTAACTGATCATCCATCACAACTCCAAGGTTCCTGGCTGTCCTGGAAGGAGTTATGGTTGATGACCCTAGCTGTAGAGGTTGTGATGAAGTGCTGGGTTGGCTGAGACCACGAGCAGTTCTGCAGTTCTCAACAAGGTTGAGTTGAGGGTGATGATCCTTCATCCAGCCAGAAATGTCTGTAAGACAGGCTGCAATGTGAACAGCTACTGTCGCATCATCTGGTTGGAATGAGAA